AAGCAGTGTCTAAATGTGTTTCTGCCTTAGGCCATGTATGTTTTCCCAGGTTTCTCTGAAATAGTTTCTTCCTTTCTTTTATTAGATGGTAGGCTCCTTGAGGTCAGAAGCTGTCTTTTGCCTGTTTTTTTTTTAATTCCCTAGCACTTAGAACAGTGTCTGGCACATAGTAGGCCCCTAATAAGTGTTGATTGATTGATTCATATAGCACAATAATATATCATATATAACATTTATGTATCATATGACATAATTTGTTCAGCCACTCCCCAATTGATGTTTCCAGTCTTTGCCACTACAAAAAGAGCTAGAATTATTTTTATATATTTTTTCATCTTTCATATTCTTAGGGTGTAGGACTGGTGACAATATTGGTTCAAAGAGTATGCACAGTTTAATAACTTGAGGTATATTTCCAAATTACTTTTCAGAATGGCTGGACTAATTTACAGCTCTACAGACCGTACATCAGTGTGCCTTTGTCCTTTTCTTTTTTGTCCCCTTTGCCATTATGTGGGTGAGTGATGGACCCATGGTTGCTTTAATCTGCATTTCTCTAATTGTTAGTGATTTGGAGCATTTTCTTAATATGACTATTAATAGTTTGGATTTTTTTAAAAAGGCGATTGGCGTTAAGTGACTTGCCCAGGGTCACACAGCTAGTAAGTATCAAGTGTTTGGTCTCAGATGGAATTTGAATTCAGGTCCTCTTGACTTCAGGGCCAGTGCTCTACCCACTGAGCCACCTAGCTGCCCCAATAGTTTGGATTTCTTCCTTAGAAACACACTTGTTCATGTATCCTTTGGCTAGTTATCATTTGGATTCCTTCCAATTCAAAGCTATTATTTTATACATGATCAATAGCCTGCTGAGGTGGGTAACACAAATATGGTCATGCCCATTTTATAGGTGAGGAAGCTAAAAGTTTGTGAGTTGGAGTGACGTGGTACAGGGTAATACAGTTAGAGAGCTTAGCAATCTTTAGCCCAGGCTGCTGGATTTTAGAATTTAGGATTGAAAGGAATCTGGTTAGATGAATTTGTTTTATGGGTGAGGCAGCTGAGGTGGAGTGACTTGATCCAAGGATGTCTTACAGTTAGTGAGAGAATCAGTGGTTGAACTGCAGTCTTAATGCTCTTAACAGCACTACACAGGGCACTGGGAAAAGGAGCCTTGGCATGCTACAGAGGAGGTTATTTCGAAATGTAGGAAGGTAGGGGCTGCCCTTGAGTACAAAAGGTGTTCCTGTCTGCAGCTCATTTGGTCTTTAAAACTCTGATGCAAGTGCTAGAGGAAAAAACCAAGCCTCGGTAACTTGACCAGAAAACGTCTGAAGGAGTATTTGAACATTATCTGTCTGGTTTCAGAGAATTTCCTGCATCACTTATCAAGTGATAACAACCAAGGTAGTTTGCAAAAAGTAGAAAACATGGGGCACAGCTGGCCCTGCTGTCCATCTCCTGAGAAATGGTAGGAGAAAGATGGGTAGGTAGCTAATGCTTGTGAGAGGATAGCTGTAGGCTACACAAACCATTTGAAAAGGTTATTCATCTAAAACTTTCAAACTAAAAGGAAGACAAGTTAATAGATTGGTTCAGCATAAGATTGGTAGAAGAATTTATAGCTATTTTTTTTTTCAAATTGAACTAATTTAATCAGTTTCTCTCTTCTTAACATCTCTTACAGTCTGGCTTCTGACCTCATCATTCTACCTGAACCACTCTCTCCAAGGTTACCAGTGATCTCTTACTTTGCCAGATCCAATGGCTTTTTCTCCATCCTTGTTCTCTTCTTACTCAGTAAACTGTTCCTTGTCACCGCTATGATCAAATACGGAATCATCTGTTTGGCCTTCAAAGTCTTTCGTCATCTAGCTCCCTCCTACCTTTCAGTCTTCTTACTCCACTTGGAATCAAGGTGCAGAGTGTCTGACTGTGGCTGATCACAGCAGTGTGAGCTCGGCAGGCTCTATCACAGGCCCTGCACAAGTAGTCTATAATCCCTACCACATACTTTTCTTCTTCTTTTTATTAATTTTTAGTTTTCATCATTCACTTTCATAAGATTTTGAGTTTTAAATTTTCTCTCCCTCTCTCTTTTCTCCCCTCCCCAAGACGGCATGCAACCTGATATAGGCTCTACTTATACATTCACATTAGGCATATTTTCACATTAGTCGTGATGTATAGAAGAATTAGAACCAATGGGAGGAATCATGAGAAAGAAGAAATAAAACAAAACAAAAAAAGGAGAGCAAATAGCATGCTTCCGTCTTCATTCAGACTCCTAAGTTCTTTCTCTGGATGAGGATACCATTTTCCATCATGAATCTTTTGGGGTTGTCTTAGATCCTTGCATTGCTGAGATAAACTAAGTCCATCAAAGTTAGTCATCATACAATGCCTGCCGTACACTCTTCAATCCAGTGATACTGGTCTCCTGGCTGTTCTTTGAACAGGACATTCCATCTTTACCTCAGTATTTTCTCTGGCTGCCCTCTATGCCTCCTCATCTTCATTTCCTGGCTTCTGGTTTCCTTTTAAATTCCAACTAAAATCCCATGTTCTACAGGAAGGCTTTCCCATCCCCTCTTAATTCTAGTTATTTCCTGTTAATCTTGCATATAGCTTCTGTGTTTATTGACTGACTGAATTGTATGTAGTTTCGGCTTACTGCATTTTGAGTGAGTGTAGAGGGAAAGGTTCTATATAGCTCTTTATGGAGTGTACAGGTGAAAATTGGTATCCAGCCATTCATAATACATGTCTGTCCTCATAGAACTAGTTCTAAAGCTGGAAAGGACAGAAGCAGCCAAGAACTTGGCTACCTGAGAATCCAGCTTCAGTCCTCTCTCACACTGCATTTACATGAAGTGACATCTTAGTTTTTGTCTTCTATGATTATAGAAAAGATAAGCTAAAGTTTGCTCAATCAACATAACTTAGAGGCAGCGTGCGCATTTATGGTTAGTTAAGTTGGGAGCCAGCAAGACCTAGGTTTGTGTCCGCCCCTTGGCAAGAACTGGTGATGAAGGGCTAGTCATTTTAATCTCTTAGGCCAGAGGTGTCAAACGTGCTGCCCATAGATTAAAATATAATTGGGAAATATTTAAGAAAATGAATAAAAATATGGTAAAATACAGGCATACCTTGGAGATATTGTGGGTTGTGTGTTCCAGATCACCACAATAAAGTGAATATTGAAATAAATTGAGTCACATGAATTTTTTGGTTTTCCAGGGCATATAAAAGTGATGTTTATACTATTGTCTATTAAGAGTACAATAGTATGTCTAAAAAAAGTGTATACACCTTAATTTAAAAATTCTGCTCAAAACGCTAACCATCATCTGAGCCTTCAGCAAGTCAGTCTTTTTGCTGGTAGAGTCTTACCTTGGTTGGCTGCTGACACTGATCAGAGTGGTGGTTACTGAAGGTTAGGCTGGCTGTGGCAGTTTCTTAAAAACATCAATGAAGTTTGCTGTATCAGTTAACTCTTCCTTTCACTTGAACACTTGTAGATCATTGTAGGGTTATTAATTGACCTGATTCCAATATTGTATCTTGGGGAATAGGAGAGAAATGGGAAACTGAAGGTAGGTAGAGCAGTCAGAACTCACACAGCATTGGCTAAATTCAGCTGTTTTGTGGGTGAGGTTTGCAGCCACTCAGAATGTTACAGTAGTAACATCAAAGATCACTCACTGACCCCAGATCACCATAAGTGTAAAATGTGAGAATTACCAAAATGTGACACAGAGACGCCCTGTGAATATACGCTGTTTGGAAAATGGCGCCCATAGACTTACTTGACCCAGGATCGCCACACACCTTCAGTTTGTAAATGCAGTATCTGCAACATGCAATAAAGGGATGCATGCCCATAGATTGGGTCAATGGCCACATTTTTATTGTTTGTCACCACTGCTTTAGGCAACCTGCTTTGGTGGTTCCTTGGAAGTCCCCTAAACCAATGAAATTCCTGGGCAGTAACATCTTGGTTTGTCATCACTTCAGTGACAAATTATTGAGTAAAATGCCGTGTTGCAAGGAGGGTCTGGGATAGGTACTGGGGATGCAGAGACCCTGTCCTGAATGAGCTTATATTCTACTTGGGGGGGGAAACAATACATAACATAGATCTGTCAGTACAAAGTATTTGCAGGATCGAGGGAACACTGACAGGAATCCTGTGCGAGCTTATCAGTTACGGGGACTCTTAGAGCTAGAGGTAAATAGGGACAATAGAGTATCCCAGGTATAGAGATGAGGATTGGCACGTGGAATCTGGGACAGTCTTTTGGGGTCATGAAAAAAATGGTAGTTAAAATTTTTCTTTCATGTGCCAATTCCACAGTCTCCATCCCTGTGCCAGACCCCCTTCTCCTGCCATGAGTATATAAAAAGAGTACAATTGTTGACTATTACTGTAGTCCATAGTTTTGTGTGTAATAAAATGTTGATCGTTGCACTTTAAAAAATTTGTACTACTAGCTTGCCACTGAAGTTTTGTTTGTTTTTTAATAAAAATTTCAGCTACATTTTCAAACTTGATGTATTGTTTGAAAATTTTCATTTTTGTTGATACTATATCATTTGTTTCTGAATGTATGTCTTCTCTTCCCATATGCAGAAAGTCATTCTTTGTAACAAAGATTCAAAGAGAAAAATAGCAGTGCAAGACTAACCATGTATTGCTGGATAAGCTGTCTATGAAGGACCCCTCACGCTCTCAAGTTCTGCAACCAACATATTAACCCAATTTGATAACATGTGTGATACTGCTGTCGCCACCTCTGTAGTGAAGGGAGGAAGGTGCATCTTTAGCCGAGGCTGCTCATTATAACCGTACAGCAAGCTTGGTTGTTTCTGTTTACGTAATTGTTACCTGGCACATTATTTTTCCAGTTCTGCTTTCTTTTTGCATGAAGTCATGTTTTCTGTTGCTCCTTTGAATTCTTAATTTATATTTGACAGAGTAGCAGAATGTCGGAGCTTTATATTAGGCTTTATGTTAAAGATGAGAAAACTCAGGCCCAGATGTTTTGTCCCAAGTCATGAAGCTTGAGCAGCGATGCACTTACCTCTTCTTGACTTAGTGTTCTGAAGAGCGTATCGGTACTTGATAGTTTTAGCCAAGAGTGCCCCAGGAATTTCGTTATAACTTTCTACTTTATTTAGTGATTGAACAAGTTCTTACAACTGTACAGAAAGGTAGCCATCCCTGCCCTCAAGGAACTTATATTTTAATGCACAAAATGATCTCTTTCTCTCACTCTCTCTGTCTTTCTCTCTCTCACTGTCACTCACTTACACACACACATTCACGGGCATGTGTGTACATAGATACACACTTCTTGAATAATAAATTCAACTATTAATTGCATGATAATGTATTTAAAGTCTTTTGAAAGCCTTAAATACTACATAAAATACCAGGTATTATGATCATCGTTATGACATAAGCTAATAGCAATGGAAAAATACAAAATAGATCATTTTAGACTATAGTAAACTATTGAGGTAGTATGAGTTAGGCCTTAGAATGATGAGCTTAGATTCAGGAGTTCAAATTCTATTTCTGAAACTTCCTGGCTTTATGACCAAGTCACTTAACCTTTATGTGCTTTAGTGAACTCCTTCGGGCTCACTGACAGACCTTTCATGATGGAGGAAGCAATAAATGCCGAGAGCGCTCATACTTGTCTTCTTGTTGAAGTTTGTCAACTAATGTCTCACTCTTACTATTTTTTTTTTAAGTTTTTGGGAAATGCTAAGTAATTCATCTGTGGTATTTATGAGTACTTATTATCTGAACATAACAGCAAGAAGAGACAATCTAAGCCCGACCGTTTGACCAGTCAAATGTTAAGTTATTAATAGGGATAGAACCTAGGCTTGTGACTTGGTATAAAGAATCAGATGAGGAAATGCCTATCAGTGCAGGTCTGCACTTTCTTTGTCATCTGAGTTCTTTCTGACTCCCACTCAAAAGAGTTAAAAACCATTTTCTTGTAGAAAGAGCAGCACAGGGGTAATCCGTGTAAAAATAGATGAGTCTTGAAGAGATAATTGAACCTCAGGGTCACATGGCTGACAAGTGGCAAAGGTAGGATTTGAACTCGGGTCTCACTTGCTAATTTCTAGCTTTTCAGCTCCAGTGCTTCAAAAAAAAAATGAATAGTTTTTATGATGAGGACTCACTTTCCTTTTTTCCATTTCAGAGTCTCCAGCATATTGAATAGCTATGGAGGACTACACGAAAATTGAGAAAATTGGGGAAGGTGAGTAATTTATGTAATTTTCAAGCTGATAAGATTAAAAAGCAAAAAAAATCCTAAAACTTATTCAAATTAATCTTAATGCCCCCCCCCCCAAATCTGTAGTGTGGAGAACTACTTAGTTTTCCACTTCTCAGTATAAAGGTCCTTCATCTCCACTCATATATGAATATGTGCTTATTATATGAACCCCTTCAGTCAGTAATCGCCAAACATTTGTTAGATACTTGTATGTGCGCTGCTGAGTATACAAAGAACCCTGTCCTGAAGGAGCTTAACCCATCTGTTTGGAGGAGGGAACAATATAGAAAAAAACAAATGCAGTCATTCTTAAGAGTAGAGGACACCAGCAGTTAGGGGGTTGATCAGGTTGGGCTACCTGTGGAAAGTAACTTGCTTCCAAGGTCAGTTTCTGTGAGGCAGGCATTGGGAAAAGCACCAGTCAGATTGGGGGGGGGAGCGGTAAATGAGAGCGAGCAGTTAACACCTATGTAGTGTGACTGGGAGGATGTGGTGTCCTGAGCAGTAACGGGAATTTTGGGGTGGGGGCATGATGATGAGTTCAGATGTCTATGAGACATTTGGTTTGGGATTCCTGTAGACATTTGGAAATTGAAGTAAGATTGAGGGAGAAGAAAGAGGGCCAAGGAGAGAGCCTTGGGGAAAGATTCAGCAAAGAAGACTGCAGGTATTGTGGAGGTAGATAGAATCAGTAAAACTTGACAACTCATTTGATGTAAGGTCAGGCTCTGGGCAGGTGAGCAGTGGAGGATGACTGAGGCTTGGGTGACGGGAAACATAGTGGTACAGGCGCTTGGTAGGAATAAAGAAGTTTGGAAAAGGAGTGAGTCTGGGGGGAAGCTGCCTGGAGACCTTCCAGGTCAGAATGCCCAGTAGGAAGTCGGGAATGGGACTGGGGCTGAGGAAGGAGAATAGGGATAGGTGTGGGTCCGGGACCATCTGCACTGAGACGATAATTAAACTCCTGGGACTTCACAAAGTCTCTGAGAGAGAATGTGGAGAAAGAGAAGAGGGCCCAGTATAGAGCTGTGCAGTGGGGGTGGGAGAGACTAAGAAAACCCTTAAGGCAATCTAGGATCTGGTACAGTTTTTTGATTTCATTATCCTCAGTCCCTGTTTCCATCATTTGGTCTGTGGGTTTTATAATTCCTACTTTATTAGCACTATTTCAGTGAAAAACAAAAAGCACTGCTTGAGATGAACTGGAAGTAGAAGCCTCAAATGAAGAAAGTCCCCAGATATCTGTGACCCAGCAAGGGCGCTGATCGCCTTCAGAAGGAGGAGGGGAACCAGGATGTCAAGGTGTCTGGAACCAACAATCCACATCTTAGGGGGGTCAGTTGGAGGTTAGGAGGCCAGGCTGCCTGAGGGCTGCCCAAAGGCTCTGAAGGCCCCTCCTTTTATCTGGTTTTGATTGTCCTAACAAGCCAGGAGCGGTGGTTAAAGGTGTAAAAGAGGTATATTTAGATGCCTGATGGGAATTAAAAGGTCTAAATTCATTGCAATAAATACAAGAAAAAATGAACATCACCTGTTCTCAAAAGCTTCTGACAAATTCTAGACCCCAAGAATGTCAAGGCAGAGTTGCCTAGAATGAATTCACACAGTCAAGCCTTCTGTTAGTCAAGTGGCAAAGAGTTTATTGTAATGCTTTAGCAAAATCGGGCAAGGCTCCTTATGGGAACCCTTCGAGAGATGGAGGATGGTGCTGGGGTTTATATGGAAAAGGGGCACGGGAAAGGAATGCCAGGGATACTACTTAGGTAAAGGGTCCAGGTGTCTTTGGGAGCTATGGATGGGAAAGTTAGGTACTATATCAGACATTGAGAGAGTTGTCAGAGGCATGGACCTCGAGGATCTGGTGGGAGGAAGAGTCCTTGGGTCGACTAGGGGAAAAATTCTTGGGTTAAGGCACCCCTCTGTCTGATAAGAGAATGTATTCTGCAACAAGAGAAAATTTTCTCGTAGGGCAGGGGCCTTCTGAGAAATTGGGAGACTACCAGAGACATGATCTTAGGGGCTGGGTCCAGAGCACCCCCTTACTTCCTCTCCTGAGTAATGGGTTCCCCTTCACTGGAGGTCTCCGATCTCTCTGGCTGCTGAGGGACCTTTAAACTTTGAAGCTGTGACACCAGTAAATTATGCTTTACATTTCAGTGAGAAAACACTCTCCCAGACTTGAAATAATCTTTGACTTTTGCCTCTCTTTTCTTCTTTTTATTCAGTCTTTCACCAAGTGTTTGCATCTCCCTGGTGTGTTCTATTACTTTCAGTGCCTTCATCTCAGTCCAAGTTGTGATTGACCTGGTAGTGGATTATAACAATCCATCACTGGTATCTTCCCTGATCTTTCCGTGTCCCATTATGAATTTGGTTGCCAGATCAGAGTTCATAATTACTTTGACTGAGTAGCTTCTACTCATGAAGGGGTAATGGTTTCGTCTTTTCTATTAAATCAGGCCTCAGCCATTCTGCCTGGTTTTCCAGGCTCTTTGGTGTGACTTTAGCTTTACTGTTTACTAATATTTACTAAAAAAAAATAGCTTCACTATTCTTTAACACAAACTTTCTTTTCAAGCTCTTGTCTTTAGTGTCCTTCCATACACTAGGCCTGCCCTTTTCTCTTTTGTTCATGTTGTTTGTCTTGCTTAAAATTCCACCTTCCATCTCCACCTCTCATTTTTGAAGCCCAATTTAAGTCAGTCTCTTCCATGAAGAGTCTTCAGTGCTGACTCAGACCCAAGGGTCTTTCTGTCCTTGTGATTTCCTTTGTATTCCCAGTGCTTAACACAATGCCTGACACAGGTCTTGTTCCCTTCTGTTCTTTAATCATTTCTATCTGGCAGTTTATGATTCAATTATAGGAATAAACTTTCAGTTACCCAGGATTAGCTGTATGATACCCACCTTTCTAGGTAGCTGAAAAGCAAGCTTAAGTCGCGTCATAGATTCAAGAGCACCTGCAGGGAAGTACCATTACCTCCCTGAGGTCATGCCTGTAATGACCCTGTGCTGGGACCAGAAACCAGCTCTTCTCACTTAGGTTGACATTTTAAGGAGTTTTATTTTGATAGAAATCCCTTTAACCGTTTTAAATGTTGTCTCCTTCCTAATAAAGCACAGATTATCTATGTTAACAATGTAACCTTTTTTTGGTTTCTCATGCTCATTATGAAAATTGGTAATGTGCTACAGAAGTAGATGATACAGATAGCATACAGTGAATGCCAGTCCTCCCCTGTAATAGATGTTATGTTCTATATTTGCTTTCTTGTTTTCCACCTTCTGTCTTTTAAGTAGGGGGAATCATCTCTTTAAAAGATAATAAAAGCAAAAATATCTAAGCAAAGCTATTGGAGAAATGCATCATTTACACATTCCCTCGAATAAAGAATTATTTTGATGACTTGGAATACCTTTCTTTTTCTTTTTTTTTTGAGGCAGGAGTGGTGTTTTTGTTTTGTTTTTATCTTTTTGGTAACAGTTTTTGTTTGTTTTGGTAGAAGGCAAACATTTGACTTGACTTTACTTTTTGTGTTTTAGGTACCTATGGTGTTGTATATAAGGGTCGACATAAAACTACAGGTCAGGTGGTAGCCATGAAGAAAATCAGATTAGAGAGTGAGGAGGAGGGCGTTCCAAGTACTGCAATTCGAGAAATTTCTCTGTTGAAAGAACTTCGTCATCCTAACATTGTCAGGTATGGATAAAATTGTGGCTTGAAAGTATGTAAATTTTAAAGCTAATTTTTATGTTGTAGGCTTTTCCTACTTCAGAATTTTCTGTAATGATTTTATTTCAACAAAACTTATTCAGCATTTTCTGAACAGGAGCTCTGTAGAAGGGTTGGGTATAGCTCAAGAGTGGCTGTGTCTAGACAAGGGACTTTTTATTAGTAGAATAAGAGAAGTGACGTGCTCTGCCAACGTGGCTGAGGTAGAGACCTGGTGAGACCCAGGCCTGCTGACTTTTCATCCTGCCACTGGGGCTAGCCAGCTATCTGCTTGAGAACCACATGATTTTGAAATGGTAACTGCCTGGGTCATTATTGCCAGTGGAAAACCAGTGCTGTGCAAGCCTGTCCAGTGGCTTGTAGTTTCTTCCTGTTCTTTTCCTTGCCTCTTTCATCCCCACTTGATATTTCCATTTCAGGGGCCAAAATATCCCTTCCTGTCCCCTTGAAGAGAGAACACCTTGGCATTTGGCCGTGATGGTGTTGGATTCTTTCACTTGGAAACCTTTAGGGTGCCAGAGCAGCATGGAGACATAGCACTTGAGAACCTGCTTGGTCATAAGTTGGAATTACCTGTAGCAGACTTTTAAAAACAACCCTGGAAGTCAGTGGTTTCTTCTATAAACTGCTCTTGAACACTGGTGTCACGTTCAATCCTTTTTATAGGCTAGTCTCCATCTTATTCACAGGAAATATCTTGCTTTCCCTTTTGTCAGCCTTGATGAAAATTGTTTGTGAAGTGAGAGACTAGAAATATTTGTAAGATATGAATTCGTGAAATTGCTCTTTATTTTTAGCCTTCAAGATGTACTTATGCAAGATGCTAGACTCTACCTCATTTTTGAATTTCTCTCTATGGACCTCAAGAAATACTTGGATTCTATCCCTCCTGGCCAGTATATGGATTCTTCACTTGTTAAAGTAAGGCTTTTCTTAAAGTAAGGTTGATAGGTACTGACTATTGTTTGAAAAGATTAGGCCTCTTTTAGGTGGGACATGGATAAACTGGAGAATTTCCAGAAGAGGGCAATAATGGTGGACCCTCAGGATCGTGCCATAGGAGGACTGGTTAAAAAAGCTGGGGAACTTGAGGGTGTAGGGAGACAGAACAGCTATTTTTAAGTATTTGAAGGTCTGCTCTGTGAAGGAGAGGGATTAGACCTGTTAGGCTTGGCCCCAGAGGGTAGAGCTAAGAGTACCGGGAGGAGGGGACTGGATGGCAGGATAAATGTCTCTTCTGTTCCAAGTGGTCCCAGAGTGGAAGGAGCTGCTCAGGGAGGTGGTTACATCTCTTTTGCTAGAGGCTGGAGGCCCACCTTTCCATCATGGTGTAGAGGGCATTCTATAATTATTATTTGGGTTGACTTGGCTTCTAATGTCTGTTCCAGTTCTGATTCTATAATTGGAAGATGAACTTAATTTAAGTATTTACTGGTTCACATTCCTTACTTATTTTATTTATTTCAGGCTATAACTTGAAATAAGTATTTCCTAGTCCATGATAATACTCTGAACTTACTTCCTTATGCCTTAGAAATTTGGGAAGTATGAATAATCATTCAAGCACTTTTTAGGCATCTGTTATGTATCAGGCACCATGGTGGGCACTCAGGATAAAAATAGAAAAAAAAGAACTCCTGCTCTCTAGGACCTTGCAGTTCTGTTGAGGGAGAGACTGGTGGTGTGGGGAATAGGTAAAACAACCATTTGTCCATTCAAGCCCCTGCCCCTTCCTAGCTACATTTATTTCTGCAACGACAGGTGGATTCTAGATAGATTCTATAGAAACCATCAGAAAGAAGAATGGCACCCTTGTGTTTTATCCCCTGGATGCCGTGAAATAAATAAGACCTTGTCCTGATGGGATGTTGTAAAATTGTGACATAGGTCTCTAGAGGACGCTGTAGACTCCTAATGAGCAGCGTGTCCTGTAGACATTGATATCGGAATCTTGTCTTTTATGGGTATAAGTAATGTCGTCTTCATGCTTCCCTGTGCTGGAAGATGCAATTATAACATGGCATCTCTGTTAGTCTTCTCTTAGTATATATTCTAGCATACTTTGATTTAATTTTAATTTAATGTGTGACAGCATATTTACAATGAGAATTCATTGTGTTGTAAATGCCTTTTAGTTTTTAGAGTTTGGGTGCTTTGACTGGCTGCGTGAACAGCCCTCCTTTTAAAATCCACAGAACATGTTTATTATGAAGAACTTCAGCTATTGACTAGCCCTTAGCAAGAAGGGCTGGGCCCCTGCTAAACTGTGCTTGACACTGAGCTCTGTCGATGATGCCCTTTGATCGACCAGGCCCTTCAGAGGATTGCTGTCACTTGTTTAATGATGGTTTTTGTGATAGATGTCAACACAAAACTATTTGCTCCCAAAAGGTTCTATTGGACAAAAAAAATGAAGCGCTGAAAATATAGAACGGGCCTGTATTTGAAGTAGGGGTGACTATTGTAACTTCCAAAACACAAAGGTCACTCTAATTTAGCTCTGGAACCAGGTTTTATAATGAAGAACAAAGTGCCAAAAATGCAGCTATTTTAGGGTGCAAGTGGACTGACCATTTGTGGTCATTGTTTCTAATTTAAGTTTTAGAAGAACCAGATCCTGTAGCTATGTATTAGGAGCACAAAGGACTCAAATGGGTTAGTTTCTAATTTGTTTTCATTTTTCTTCAGAGTTATTTGTACCAAATCTTACAAGGCATTGTCTTTTGTCACTCACGAAGAGTTCTTCACAGAGATTTGAAACCTCAGAATCTGTTAATAGATGATAAAGGTGTGATTAAGCTAGCTGACTTTGGACTTGCACGGGCCTTTGGAATACCTATAAGGGTCTATACACATGAGGTAAGAAGAGTTAAAATAATTTTTTCTTATTGGAGTTGATATTTCCTAATTATCTTGTAAATTAGCTTTATGTTTGCCTTTTTTTAAATTTTTCACTTATAGAGAAAATGAAGGATTTTATCCTAAAACTGTCTCCTTTTTCCTTGTTTAGTGGAGTGTTTGTTGAACAGGAGTCAAGAGACAAAGTTCTGTCCAGAGCTCTGCTTATTAACTTGGTCGCCTTGATCAGTAGTCAGAAACATTTATTAAGCACCTTTTGTGTGCCAGGCGCTACATTAAGGAATGGGCAGTCCCTACCCTCAAAGAGGGAAGAGAAGACACAAAAGGAGGTTGAAGGGGAGCGTGACCCTTGGAGGAGAAGCCAAGCTGGGCAGCTAGTGATGAAGAGTGTCGCCGAAGGATTCCGTGCCAGTTCTGAAGGAGGCTTTGGGAGGAGGGGCCGGTGTCCTTAGAGCAGAGCAGCTGGTGGGCAATGAAGGGGCCGTACAAGTCACCCAGCCACCTGAGGCCCTCGTTCTTGTCAGAGGAGGTCAGCAGGAAGACAGGGGCTGGAGAGTAGAGCCCAACAGGGTCCCTTCTCCTAATTGTACGTATGAAGCCTTCTGGCTGCTGCTGATGGCCTTGGTTAGGCCTTAGTTAAGTGTCAGTCAACAAGCATTTATGAAGCACAGTACTATGTCCTGCCCTTAAGGAGCTCACTTCCTAATGAGGGAGATACAGGGTAGATGACAGGTAATCATAGGGAAGCCCCTAGCAGCTGGGGGGACAAAGAGCCTCCTGCACAGGGGGAGGAGGGGGGTGCTTTAGGCATGGGAGAGAGCCGGGGCAAAGCCAGGGGTGGAAGTGTGGAGAGCAGCCAGAAGAGCTCAGAATGTGCAGGGGGAATGTGATAGAAGAAGCCTGGAAGGGTGGGCAAGAGCCAGGTTGTGAAGAGCATCAAATGCCAAGCTGAGGTCTTGATGTGTGGCCCCCCTGGAGCTTATGAGGCATGTACTTGGGCAGCTGTGGACTGTAAGAATGAGAAATTTGGGGAGGATATGAGTGTGAGCAAAGAGTCGAGGATGACAGCCTTGGGTGTAGGCCTGAGTGACAGGAAGCTGGGGAGAGAGAAGGTTTGGGGAAAGATAGCAAGTTCTGTTCATTTGAGATGTCCCTGAGGTCTTTGGAGGTGCTTGGCCAGAACTCGGGAGAAAGGTTGGGGCAGGTGGACCATTCTAGGAACCATCTGCATGGCAGTGGAGCCATGGAAGCTGCTGAGACGAATGACCTCAGGGAAAAGAGAAGGGGGCCCAGGCCGGAGCCTTTGGGGATGCCCTGGTGAGTGGGCATGGGCATGGATGAAGACCCTTCAGAAGACTTAAGAAGAATTGGCCAGACAGGTCAGAGGAGAACCAAGGGAGACTAGAAGGATGGAGGTGAGATTTTAGAGGTTTGGTGACTAGCGGGGGCAGGCTCAGTAGATTGAGGTGTGAAGTCAGGCTGTGCAGTGTTCAGAGGGTGAGATGAGGGTGCACTGGGAACGTGCCTGCTGTTAGTGGCTTCTCTGGGAGAGGAGCTGAAAGGGGAGGAGAGGTCACTAGGCCGGATGGCTAGATTGATAGATAGATTGAAAGGTTTTTTTCTTTTTCTTTTCTTTCTTTTTTTTTTTTTTTTGGTTAGGCAATGGGGTTAAGTGACTTGCCCAGGGTCACACAGCTAGTGTTATATGTCTGAGACTGGATTTGGACTCAGGTATTACTGAATCCAGGGCCCATGCTGTATCCACTGTGCCATCTAGCTGCCCCTAGATAGAAAGGTTTTTAAGGAAGAAGGCAGGTTGTCTGTAGGCAGCAGGGAGGTAACCAGTAGATAGGGAGGAGAAAGAAGTGGAGGGGTGGTATCCAGGGGTTGGTCTTGGTCAAGAGAATGACTGTCCCTTCCTTTGAGACCAGAGTGAAGGAGGCAGTGGGGAAGATTGCTGAGAGATGAGAACAGGTTGTGGTTGTATGGAGGCTTAGCTGATGGGAGCAGGGTACCATTGAGAGCTTGGGGGACAGTCTCTATACTGGAGACCTTACTTCAGTGAGAGCCAGCTGAGGCTGGGTGAATTTTGTGGGAGCTAGTCATGGCTTCCTCAGAGCTTCAGTAGTGTGTGAATAGGAATGAAGGTGGTAGTGGGTAGGTTTGTCGAGGCTAGGCGTATGAGATGAGAGGATCGTGGAGAGAGTAGCAGGAAGGATAGCCACCAGTGCAGTGTAGCACCAGCGGGAACACGCTGAAGGGTGGGGAGAGGTCAGGGTGAGGACCAGAGGCTTAGGGGCCATGAGGAATAGGGAAATGTGTGCTTATCCGTGGTTATAGGCATGTGGAGGATGCGAGGTCTTGAATATGATGCAAGTAGAGTGCTTAGGGGGGACTCTAGCTGCAGTGGAGGGGGAGAGCAGTTCAAGCCTGGGAAGGAAGTCAGTACACTGCAGACCTGGGAAGTCAGAGTATCTGAAGGAGCATCAGTGGGCACATGTGTGCGGGTCCCCTCATGTGAGGTCAGGAGTTAAGCTGGAGACAGGGACTGAGCCAGGCAGTGTTCTGGGGAGCATTGTCACCAGTGATAAATGGGCTGGGTGGAGGCGGATGGTGCCACGTGGTGATGGAGGGCAGGGTCTGTATTCAGCCCTGGGCATCAAGTAGGATTCCAGCTCCTCCAGTGAGATGAGTGCTGTGTGAGGCGTGGAAGGAAGTGAGGGGCCAGATTGGCAGGAGGGCAGAGGGAGCGGAGTCTTTGGGAAGAAGTTCCCACAAGAGTACTGTCCACCAAGCCATCCCACCCTTCAAGTCACTGAACCCCCTGAACCGCAGTTTCTTGTTCTGTAAAATGATGGCCTTGGCCTGATGACCCCTTGAAGTCCCTTCCATCTCTAGATGGATGGTAGGATTATTTTTTTAAAGTAATAGTCATCCTTTTACCCGCTTTGTGTGCTGCGGATGACCTTGCTGCAGGACAAGCATGGCTGCATTCCCATCCTTGAGTACCTTGACCTGGTAGGGCAGAGCAGTGTGAGTTAGGAGGTCTCAAAGAGTGGTCTGAACAGGAAAGCGTGGAGGTGCAGAGAGGATGGGAGGGCTTGGCGTTGGAGCTGCGCCGTGAAGAGAAGGTAGGATGGACAGGTGCAGCTGAAGATCCTAGACAGATGAGAAGGCACCCATCCACATGGGGACGGGCTTCGTTTGGTTGGGCAGCAGTTCCCATGACCACTCTGGAAAGCTCTAGGTGGCTTCTGTGGAGATGTTATTCCTCTAGGCCTGTGTGTGCTGCGTCAGACCTTTTAATGGGGGATTTCTAGTTTGGGATCATTAATGTGCTTCCTACATTTCTCTTTTGTGTCAGGTAAACAGGGACTGCCTTGTTATAATAGTCTGTCATATTCTGTATTCCCTTTTAATTTCTACACATAAAAGAGAAGTACTGGTGTGATCTATATCTGCCTCTCTGACCTAAGGAAATGGTTTACTTTTTTAGATGTCTCCATTTATATTGAAATAGTCAATATATATACTGTCCTTTAGGAGGAATTCTTCTATAAAGCAGGAATTGAGGGCCAAGTCCTGCCTGCTGCCTGTTTTTTTTGTATGGCTTTGAGCTGAAGAATGGTTTTTATGTTTTTAAATACATTAAGATTTTATTTAAAAATGTGAAAGCCATAGTTAGCTCCTTGGCCCTGCAAAAACAGGAGGTAGGCTGGATTGGGTTGAAAGTGCTGAACCTCTCTGATAGAGTAGTTTGTTCTTAACCCCTTAAAAAAGAGGAAATTATTTCTAGCTTTGCATTTTGCTTTTCCTTTTGAGGATATTCCAAATGAAACATAAGTCCACAGATTTTGAGAGATGTCTTATTTTTCAACAACTATACATTCGGTTCAATTGCAAACCATTTTAAATTTTTGTGTTTTAGGTGGTCACACTGTGGTACCGGTCTCCAGAGGTGCTGCTGGGGTCTGCCAGATATTCTACTCCAGTAGACATTTGGAGTATAGGCACAATATTTGCTGAATTAGCAACTAAGAAGCCACTTTTCCACGGGGATTCCGAAATCGACCAGCTCTTCCGAATCTTCAGGTATCTCATGCATTTCTACTTTATTCCCACAATACAAAAGACAGGATGCACATATAGTGTGTCTCCCTCCCCAAGTAAGGAGAGTGTATCTCAGTAAACTTTTGTCTTGCAGAGCTTTGGGGACTCCTAATAACGAAGTGTGGCCAGAAGTGGAGTCACTGCAGGATTATAAGAATACATTCCCCAAGTGGAAACCAGGAAGTTTGACGTCACATGTCAAGAATCTCGATGAGAACGGCATAGATTTGCTCTCTGTGAGTTGTCCACCCTGGTAGCTCTGATGGGGCTTTAACGCAAACCCACTTGTTGAAGATGTGGAAGCTCCTGCTTTGTTGTTGTTTTAATTATGTACTGCATGCATTTTAGATTGGTATATGACACATGTTACACACACACACACACACACACACACACACACAGGTTGGGATCAAGCAGATTTCTGTGTTGGAATAATTTACTTAGGGCTTTCCTCACTTGTGTTTTGGAGGGGGACCATGCTCGGCTTTTTGTTGGTTTTGTTTTTTGGTGCAAGAAGTCTCAGCCATTTTTACCAGAGACCAAGTACAGTAGAAAGGATGTTGGTTTTTTGGCTGTTGAATCTAGGAGGCTTATTATACTTTAACTACTTGGAAGAATTAAATAGGAAAAGTGAGGTGAGCATGTAGCACAGGAATGCTGGGCAGTAAGAAGAGAAAGATGGGGGTTGCCCTGGGCTAGAAGGAGAGAAATGAATGGAGCTAACAGGTAATTAAACCAGCCTGGAGCCCATAAGAGCTGGGAGGGGTCCAGCAAAGTAACTGTTGCATAACTTGTAGTGAAGAACTTTTCCTCCTTCTGACCTCACATTTTCCTTTTCCTTTTTGGCATTTGTGCTGCCTTATTTTCCTTTAACTCAACATCAAGTTTTATTTATAAAGTTTAAATTTATTCACTGTTCAAAATGTAAATGATCAATGTTAGAGTTGATTCAAGTCTATGCCTCCATAATTGGTTACATTCTGGGCTATTTATTCCAAGACACTTTGCATTGCTTCTACTTATCTTTTTATTTTGAAATACTGAAATTTATGTTTCCTCTTAAGATTTGAAAAGGAAGAAAAAAAAGATAAACTATTAGTAGACTGTACTTTTTTTTATTGATTTATTTTGATTCATCAACAATCACTTCCATAAGCTTTTGAGTTTTAAATTTTTCTCCCCCTTCCTCCCCACCACCCTCCCCAAGATGGCCCATAATCTGATAAGGCTATACCTATACATTCCTGTGAAACATATTTTCACGTTAGTGATGTTGTGAGTAAGAATTAGAACCAATAGGAGGAACCACCAGAAAAAGGAAACAAAACTCAACAGAAGAAAAAAATAGTAAATAGTATGCTTCAATTTGCATTCAAACTCCATAGTTCTTTCTTTGGATGTGGATAGCATTTTCCATCAGGAGGCCTTTGGAGATGTCTTAGACCCTTGCATTGCTGAGAAGGGTTTAAGTCTATCAAAGTTAGTCATTGCACAACGTGGCTGTTGCTGTGTACAATGTTTTCCTAATTCTGCTCACTTCACTCAGCATCAGACCATATAAGTCTGTCCAAGTTTTTCTGAAGTCAGCCTGTTCATCATTTCTTATAGCACAATAGTATTCCATTATATTCATATACTACAACTTATTCAGCCATTCCCAAATTGATGGCCATCCTCTCAATTTCTAATTCTTTGCCACCACAAAAAGAGCTTAGGCCGTATTTTTAAAAATTGATATTTTTGTTTGGGATTATATTCTTCCCTTCTCCCTTTTGGGTTAGTGCTATTTCTTTAGCGTGTCTGTTCTTTTCATCTGTGTTATTCTGTATCCGCTCAGTTTCTGATCTTGCTAATGTCCTGAGTTCTCACTTCAGCACTGTATTGCTTGTGACTTTTCTCTTGAATTCACTACAAAAGTTTAGCAGGTATTTATTATAAACTCTTCTCTCTATCCTTGCCACTTCTTTTCCCATATCTCCAATAAGAAAGAAAATTCTATATTCACTTAGTCATTTAGAACAGCCTTCTCTCCCTGCCAAAATAAATTTCTCACTCCTATGAAGTCTTCAGAAATGTTGATTCTTATTTTTGCAGCACTTTGTCCCAATATGTCTCTCCTCTTGCCCATGCAGTCAGCCATTCCTTATTTTTAAAAATGAAATGATATATATTCATACATGCATTTAGAATCTGTTCCTCCTACTGGGCCCCCACTCCCACCCCAACAAAAGAAAGAAAAATAAAACACTCAAACAAATTCCCACATTGTTCCTGCATGATAATTGGTCTCTGCATTAAGTTCATCACCACTGACAGAGGGTGAGGGTCTTATTTTTATCTTAAATTTTCTGGACCCACGGCTGACTTTTGCAATGATCAGCGTCATCAAGTCTTTTCAAAATTGTTCTCTATATCATTATTGTTTCAATTGGTTTTGAGCCGTTCCTGACTAACACATTGGTCAGATCAAAAGTGAACGTCCCCGTGGTCTCCATTCGTTCATGTAGAATTCCTGAGCCTGTGTTTTTCAGATTCCTTGTTTCTCATGGGGCAGCAGCATTGTTACTGTGTGTATGTGTGTGTTAGTCTGTGTATGTGTGTGCACGCTTCCGCTAGTTTGTTTAGCTCATCCGAAACAGTCAGGGAATCTGATTCCGATTCTTTGATGCAACAACTGTGGTTATAAATATTTTGGTGTCTCTGCATCTTTCTGTCTTGACTCCCTTGTGTAAGGCCAGAGGTGTGGCGTCTGCCTCCAGGTCACAGGCTATGGATTCCTCAAGTTTTAAAGCGATGTTCATCAGGAAGGAAGTAGCTATTCTTGCCTTTGGTTGGAAGGAATTTCTAAGCCATCCTAATTTCTTTGATTCTGTAAAGTATTGTCTCTACCCCCCACCCCTTCTTGTGTGTGGTTTTGTTTTTAAAATCTTAGGGTGTGTTTTAGAACTTTGCTTATTTTTCATCTTCAGTACCTGATCAGATCTAGTTTCTATGTTGTGCACACACGTAACGACTTTGGACTATGAGGTTCACTCGAACTCATCTATTCTAACCAACATTATTCTTTAATAATTTGTGATGGTTTGTCACCCACTGCTTGTGGATTTGATAGTGTTCTTTGCTTTCCAACACAAAGTGAAAATTACTGTTCTATCTATGTGCGTTTGTGAGGGTTAGCTCATTGGCTCATAACTCTAGAGCCAAAAGAAGCGTCAGAAGCCATCTTGTCTAACCCCTTCATCTCATAGGTGAGGAAACGGAGGCCCAAGGTGTGGGAAGCCCCAGAGGTGGGCCGTGAGTCCAGGACTCGGGACACTAGAGACAAGTGTTTAGGGGCAGCAGCTTCTTCTCTTGTTAGCATCCAGGATTCCGTTACCATCAAAAAGCACTGAAGAGAGGTTTCGAGCCTGGTTCCTCTTGCTCTTTTTCTACTCTCTGTACCAAGCTGCCCCTTTGTTAGACAGCTCACTGGTGATATACACTCCTCTGTAACCAGCCTCTCCCCACTGAAAACTCCTTCAGGTCTGTGCTTTGGTTTGGTGCTTTGGGCTGTGTATCCCTCAGGACCTTGGATATGGTTGAAGTGGAGTCATTTCTAGTCTCAGGACCAGGATTCATTATTATAATTACTAAGTCTAGCTGCTTTTAGGTGTTTCGAGGTTTTTGTTGAATTTTTTTTTGAAGCACCATGGTCATTTTGTTGGGATATACACCCCACCCCATGAGCCTTCCTTGTCACAAATTAAAACAGTGACTCGAAACTGGTTAATGCCATGATCTTGGTGGGAGATATCTACCATATTCTGCATGGTTCCTTTCCTTCCCTCCACCCTCCAAGGAAAGGAAGAAAGTGGTTTTTGGTTGTCTGATTGTATTCATTTACATTATTGTAGTCATTGTGGATGCTGTTCTTCTGGTCCTGCTTCTTTTAAGCTGTAGCATTTAATAAAAAAAAAATTTCCTTAGTCATCATTTCTTAACAGTATGATAATGTTCTGTTATCTTAATATGCATCAGTTGGTTGGTTCAGTGACTGCCACTGAAGGGTGCTGGCTTTGTGGAAGCATCTGTTTTAAATGCCAACGAGGGCAGCGCTCGGGCCAAGGAACATTGCAAAGGAGAGACCCAAATTGACGTTCATTTCTCTTAGTAATGGTTTAGTTTGCCAGGCCTGGTATTTATGTATTCATCTACACATCATATCTACTGTGTTATGATTTCAAGGGTATTTGGGCTGCCCTTGTCGGTCTAACGTCGCTTTCTGGTCAATCTAGCGCTCCTTCAATTTGATCTAAAAAAGGTTCCTTAGTTCTTCCAAGTGTGTATGCGCATTCATTTTTGCCCTAATATCAAGTCAGCTCACTGGAATGTGCGTGCCCTGATTCACCCCTCCCCACTCGGATGCCTTTTGTTTAAGACATGCTGGAAGCAGCATTGAAGCAAGTGCAGTTGAGTGCCACAGTTCCTGCAAAAACATCTTAAATTGCTCTTAACCAGAAAGGGAAGTCGTTTTTATTTTTCCTGGCCTAAATTTATATTCCTGCTTGTAAACTATGAGCCTGAAATGCATTTGTGTTTCAACATGGAATTAACAACGACAAAAAAGGAAGTATTGGCACGTCGGGTTTCTCAGCGCTAACGCTTTTGGCAGGGGAGGTATTGTAATTAGTGCTCCTGGGTAAGGTGCACAAGGACAGCGTTTACAATCTCCTGAACTGAGCGAGGCTTGAATCTTACAAAATCATTTTGACGTTAGCTTTTTTGGGGGTGATAGACATTAATTTATTAGAAAATTTAAGTAGATAATGTGTTTAGTTTCGTTGGTACAATTTCCTGAATAAGTTTCCATTTCTTTCTTTTTCAGAAAATGTTGGTCTATGATCCTGCCAAACGAATTTCTGGCAAAATGGCATTGAACCATCCATATTTTAATGACCTGGACAGTCAGATTAAGAAGCTCTAGTTGTCCAGCCAAGTGATTCCTGGGGTTTTGTATCAAGAATGGATAGTCCTCTTGTAATGTTAAGCTCTGTCAACATTTGTCTTTATATGTGTGTTTCCTATCTTTGTTGTAAAATTGAAGCTGTCCTCTCTTTTTCCAAGGTGTTGCATAAAACTGTAAATATCGTTATAATGAATAATGCTCTATGTAGATCTCATCAGTACAGCTGTTTTGTTTTCTATAAATAAAAGTGTAAATCCAGCATTGATGTGCAGGGCTTGGGGAAAGTTGGAGCTAATTTTAAAACAATATTCTCCTAGAGTTTTTGCATGTTTGAGATGTTATTTAGGAGCATAAATCAGACTCAAGTTTTATTATGTTATAAAATATCTTAAGACCCTTCCCTGGGTATTTGTATGTTTAAATTGAATTCCAATTGCCTGCAACAATGTGAAATTTAAATTTGTCTCATCATCAAAACCAACCACAGTGAAGGGGAAATAAGGGTATAGGACTTCAAATAATTTACCCAATTAAAAGCCTAAAATCATTAATTAAGTTTAGATTATTCATGCGGTAGGATATAACATGCACACATATTATCTTTCCCTTGGCTTCCTACTTTATAACTCAGAATAAGAGAATGATGTGAATTTGGCCATATACCTCGGTGCCTTATAAAACTAAGCATGAGGGTGTGCTAAGGGCTTCCCGTATCAGAAGAGCAAACAGCAAATTCATCGGCTATCCTGTGGACCGTTTGAGTTATGAAATTGTTTGAATGGATTCCTAGGCTTTGAGAATAGGTATCAGCCATGGGAAGGAGCTGTCGGAGCATAGATATAGTTTACTGAGGTCAAATTCAAACCCTTACAGAACATGATCACCATTTCATTTATCAGTTACTTTTAGTGATGCACATCTTTACTAAAACAACTGTTTTTGAGAATGAAATGTATGTGTAAATAGAATAATGCCAGATGATTGGCAGCTTTATGATAATTGATAATGCCACTCAAAGTGGCTTCCTAACAGTTTTTGGTCATAGCTGTGGATGAGCTCTCACTTTCTGGAAGAATGTTGATGGGTTGGTTTTTTTGGGGGGGGCAGGAGGGCACTTTGAGGGGGAGCTTTATAAGGAGTTGTTTGATCCTATATTTATGTTAGATCCTAGAGCTATTTTTCCCAATCACTAGGCTGGATAGGCCTTCCTTTTCCTTTTCCCTCTACCCTGTCCTCTTTGGCCTCTCAACAGTTTGTCATGATCAAAAGCATCAGTCTGCACTGGTGGTCTTCACCTCTATGTAAATAACCCCCACTGCCTGAGTTCTTTGGGCCATCTCTGAGCACTTGTGTACAGTTCTCCTAACGGGGGCCGTAAGGGTTAGGAGGCTGCTTTTGGCCCTCCCCCCTTAGGAAGTCAAGGTAAATTGGCCCTGTTTGTGTTTGGATCCTAGGACGTGGATATTTCATTTTAAGCTGCCCTAGGAACCTTCATGGATTCATTCCCTTGCTAATAATTTGGCTGCAGAACTACTCTGAAACTCTTTTGTCTCAAATACATAGGTAGCAAGACCACAAGCATTTGGGAAGAGGGAAGACTACACAGTTTTTCCATTCTTTAGAAAATGGCCTTTTGGGACATATTTACTTATTTATCCATATCTATACAAATAGATAATTTGTGCATAGTTCAGCGTAAATTAGAAAAGCAATTTGCAGTAATCTAACTTCTGAGTTATGGAAGTTAATATTAAATTATAGTTCTAGTTAGAAACTTTTTAGCTCTATGTTGATAAAAAGGATTTCACTACATGAAATTTAGTTTGAGTTTTTAGTCAGTATGGATGATTCTAATGAGCACTTGGGGTTTTTTGGAGCAAGTTGATTTCATTTACATTGGCTCTGCAGTGTCTATACTACAAGAGGGATCAGGGATCTGTATTGACTTCTTTGGTCAGGTGGAAGGCAGTACTGAGAGCCAGATTTCAGCTTAATACATAAAGTTTCACAACTATTTGGTGAATATAGAACAATTAGAGTCACCCTCTACTTTTACTGCATTTGTTTTAAAAAAAATAGAGGCATAGCACATATTCTGCTGGAAAGTATTACTAACTGGCACTTTATGTGACATTTCAGTCTTAAGGGATGGATAATAAAATTGCAGTTTACAATTGTACTGATGAATGTTACTTTCTTGAAATAACTGTTATGATTTATTTTCCACATAAAACCAAATTATTTAGGCCAATGTAGTTTTATACACGCAGCTCACGTGATCTTAAATTCCAACTTCCTGCCTAAGGATTCTGGCCTTTGGTACTGTCAAATTACCTAAATAACTCACTCAAGGAATTAAAAATAATTGAGTTGACTATATCCTAAAGACCTGGACATTTATGGCTCTTTATGTAAGGGAACAATTTAATCCAGGAAAACAGAGGTTCTGTTGGACTTTTAATTAATTTGTTATTTTTTAATTTGTTAATCAGTACAAAGTGTGATTTCTTGCAAAAATGAATTTTCAGTCTTTAATTGGGATCGGTACAACAGGCTGATAACTATGACCTTTGCCCCCATATCTAGGTCTGGGTTCATGAGCAGCTTGACTGATAGCTGTCCATTTTCAGTAGTTCATTTTGTCTGGGTAAGTAAATTCGGAGGCAGCTTTCACAAAGTCCCACAGGCCAAATGTTTTGAAATAGCTGTGGTTTTGAGAAAGTTCTGAAATGGAAATACAAGTGGGGAGCCCACAAGGATTCATTTTTATACTAGGAGGGGGGACCTTGAATAGGACCGTTTGATCCACGGGAAAAAAAATAAACCACACCAAAATAAATAGTGACAATGGAGAACTGTTTAAAAGATGCTAAGATGAGTCAATGCATATGAATAAATGCTAGCACATATTTAAATTGTTATAGATAGTTAAAAAGTGCTGCTGTAAAGCTGGAAATATTCTTAGAAGTCATCATAGAATTAACTAAAATTAAAGCCAATTCTGGCCTTGACACCACAGAATTGTGGTTTCCCAACCTCTGTTTTAGATTTACCTGTTGGGAATTCAGGATTGAAAGGGATCTCATGGACCCTCTAACCCATGTGCACACGTGATTTTCCAGTCACCTCTTGAAGAATCCAGTGAAGAGGAGCCCACCATCTTCCAGGGTTAGCCCTTTCCACTGCAGATTGGCCCCATGTGTTTTTCCTTTCATTAAGTCTACATTTGCTCTCTAACTTTGATGCACTGATTTTTGTTCTGAGTCTTGGAACCAAGAAACGTGAATAATCCATATTTCCAATGTTTCAAGATAGTTATTGCACCCCTGGAGTCAAAGCTAGCTATACTGGAGGGACCTTGGCTGCTTTAGTGGGCAGAATCCTAGGAACTAGATGCATACATTTTCACAGCATAATAGTATTTGGGCAGGAAATGCTTCCCTTGCCTTGTTGATTGCACAATAGTGAAACATAACCGTTTTTAAACTGTGCTTTTTAAAAATTGATCACAGAAGATAAGCTCCCAAAACATTCTTCTTCCTCTGCCTTTCTCAGCAGCCTATTCATTTCCACCATATCTTCTGTTCTGTAGGAGGCATTTTCCTTGACTTCCAGGCTTCCATACCTAACACTCAGAATCCCAGGAGAGTGAATGGCCTCAAAAGATAATTTGTGCTATGATGTTTGTAAAAAGTCATTCTGAACAATCGTGATTGCTAGGAAATGCGTTATAAAGCTGCTGGATTTGGACTCAGAAGACCTGAGTTTAAATATTTCACTTGGGTGCCGCCTGTTGGATGCTGACTGAGTGCTTTTTTTTTTCTCTCACCTTCAGTTTTTTATTTGTAGAGAAAAAAGGTTAGACTGCCTCATATCTAAGCTTCGCTGTCGGTCTGATCACATGAAATCCTAATTCTGACAAATGTCCACTGATTGTTCTGCCCTTGGGGGCCCAACACTGAATAGTACTTGAAGGATCTTGCTATGGGATGAACACCTCCATTTCCTTCAACCAAGCCTTGAATGGTAAGGTCTCTAGTCCTCACCTGTCCAGCTGTCCACTCCAGCTGGCCATTGATCTTCCTAAAGTGTGATGGCCCAAATTGGACCCAGTTCTCCAAGGGACAGAGCAGAGCAATGGACAACAGTAGGGTTATCACCTCCCTCATTCTGGACAGTATGCCTCCCAGTGAACGCTCAGGGCACATCAGCTTTTAAAGCTACCCTATCATTGCTTGGTTTTGGGGTTTTTGTCTTTTTTTTTTTTTTGCCCTTTCCTCCCTCTCCCATCTAGTGTTCGTGTGGATTTTTGGAGCCCTTAGACAACATTGCTTTTACTTCTATTCATTCCTTTCCGTTCGGTTTAAGGTCACATGATTAGTGAGTGGCAGAGCTGTGGTTGAAACCTCAGTTTTCTGACTACCGGTTCAAATGCTCTTTCCACTGGGCCACATGCTTTCCTAACTGCTCATTTGGAACTATAGCCTTGGCCACACTCAGACTGACCCTGGACTATTGGGCAACTTCCTCTTTTTTTCAATGTCTTAAAAAGCTTTTAAAATTTATTTATTTCATTTTTCCCCAGTTACATGTAAAAACAATTTTTAACATTCATTTTAAAAACTCCAAATTCTCCCCATTACCCCCCTCATTGAGAAGGCAAGCAATTTGATATAGATTATACATGTGTAGTCATGCAAGACATTTCTATATTAGTCACTTTGTGAAAGAACATAGACCAAAAAAAAAAACCAAACCCTCAAGAAAAACAAAGAAAAAAAGTATGCTTTGATCTGTATTCAGACACCATCAGTTCTTTCTCTGGGGATGGATAGCATTTTTCTTAAGTCTTTAAGAGCTGTCTTGGATCATTGTATTGGTGAGAATAGCTGAGTCATTCACAGCTGATCATCTTACAATATTGCTGCTCAGTGGATAGAGCTCCAGACTTGGAATCAGGCGGATCTGAATTCGAATCTGGCCTCAGACACTTGACACTAGCTGTGTGACCATGGACAAGTCACTTAACCCCGATTACCTCATACACGAAAAACAACAAAACCATATTGCTGTTACTTTGTATTCTACATTTCACTTTGCATCAGTTTATGTAAGTCTTTCCAGGTTTTTTTAAGAGCATCCTGCTCATCATTTCTTACAGCACAATAGTATTCCATCATAATCACATACCACAATTTGTTCAGCCCCTTCCCCAATTAATGGGCATCCCCTTGATTTCCAATTCTTTGCCACCAGGAAAGAGCTGCTATAAATGTTTTTGTACACATAGGTCCTTTTCCTTTTTTTTTTAATCTCTTTTGGGATATAGGCCTAGCAGTGGCATTGCTGGGTCAAAGGGTTTTCTAGCCCTTGGGCATCAACTTCCTCTTTACAAGACTTTTCTTTGCACCTTGAAATGTGTTGTCAGTAACTTGTAATGGTCTCTATAATGGACACTGCTGTAACTAATTTAAATAGCAGTGTTTAATGGACCTTTTAAGACCATTTTTATTATAGAAGTGTAATGAACATTTGAATGGAGTGTTTGAAT